ACAAGTTGACAAGATGATGCAAAGAAAGGATATAACCTCGAAGGGCATGAGATTCCGAAATTTGGCAAGGAGTTTTTCGAATTGGGCTTTGTGCGCACCAAGACTTCGCTTGCAAGAGTGCAGCTGACACTATAAAAACAAGCAAACGATGGAAGGTGTTGTGATCCGCCTCCTGGTGATGTTCTCTGGTATGGTTTGAGTAGCCTGGGCACCTACTCCACTTGGGAAGGAGACATCTCAGATCATATTTCGTGCGGAGGAAAGTTGATGGATGACGGAGGCATGTCTGGATAACTCAGGGTTTTTGAGACGTTCCCCTGGGTGAGTATTCACGGATGAGGGTTGACTTGGGGTGAAGAAAAAGCCGCCATAACTCCGCAGTGGTACTTGCAAATGAAATCTGAGGCATGAGTGCTCCTAAAGTAAATTGAATCATCTATTCTGTACTTTTCTTTGATACTGTGTCATGGCTAGATAGCTGCATACGCAATTAAAATCTGATGCAAAAAAAAAATAATAAGTTTTTAGGGGATTTAAATGGGGCGCATATTCGCTTAGAGTTTGTACCCCTATTAGCGCCAATTTAGACAGGGTACTTTTTTTTTGCTTCATATTTTAATTGCGTATGCAGCCATCTAGCTATGACACAATATCAAAGAAAAGTATAGAAAAGATGACTCAATTTAAAAGAGGAGCACTCATGCCTCAGATTTCATTTGCAAGTACCACTGCGAAGTTATGGCGGCTTTTTCTCCACCCCAAGTCAACCCTCATCCGTGAATACCCACCCAGGGGAACGTCTCAAAAACCCTGAGTTATCCAGACATGCCTCCGTCATCCATCAACTTTCCTCCGCACGAAATATGATCTGAGATGTCTCCTTCCCAAGTGGAGTAGGTGCCCAGGCTACTCAAACCATACCAGAGAACATCACCAGGAGGCGGATCACAACACCTTCCATCGTTTGCTTGTTTTTATAGTGTCAGCTGCACTCTCGCAAGCGAAGTCTTGGCGCGCACAAAGCTCAAGTCGTAAAACTCTTTCCAAAATTCGATTTTTTAAGCCCGTCGAAAACGTATCCCTCTTTTGCATTATCTAGTAAACTTATCCTGATCCCTCTCACGTCCATCCCAAAGAACTTTATCCCAGATTTGTGCGCCACGCTTTGCTTCCTCCGTCGGGTATAAATATCGGCGTGGGCGTGTATTTGGTGACCGGCTGAAGCCAGAGAAAGTCGACGAGAGGTGTGGTCATTGAAATGAGGATGTATTAGGTCGTACTTGTAGACTTGATGAAGCTTAGTTGAGAATCGGGCTCTTTGGGAGTGAAAAATTGACATGGTGGAGTAATTTGAAATTTTGCCTCGTGGGCCAACTTCTTTGATATTGCGAAATTTGACTGAACTTGGCTCTGGGAGAATATTTCACTCCCAGGTTCGTATAGGACACCGCGTACAGGTGTTCAGTCCCGCCCTCCAGGCAGGGTACATAATTCTTGTCCTGTATGTGAGTGTGTGTTTATTGTCCTAAAAAGTCTACAACTATGTAAGGACATGTAGGTCCTTTCTGCCTACAGGCCGGGAGTGTCTATGCCTCAGGTAGTGTACTCCCTCTTTTGTCTCCCTCACGACTTGTTTCCAGCAGTAATACCCCCGCAAGTCTTCATTCGAGTACACACTAAGAGGAGCCGTTATCCCGTCATTATCTCTTGTCCTGTATTTCTAGGCCTAAACCGAGGGCACAATTTGATTTCATGTCACCCTCAGTTTTATGCGAATCCAATCCGCTCTCTAGTTCTTTCCCATTGCTTTGATGAGCGCCGACCGCTAAAAAATTACACAGTTCTTCTCATCATGTGATGGAGTTACAATAAGAATCAAATTTCTCATATACAAATTTATTAATTCAGAAGACACATGACTTTACTCGATACTAACCTTATTTTGCAGATGAATCCACCTCAAACCCCCAAGAAACTTTATCGCAAATTCATTTCATGCTATGGAGCAGGATAACCCTTCTATAACCCTTTGCCCAGAAAAACTAAAGGCTTTGACAATTCAGGTTTGGACAGTCAAAGGCCTCAGGTATCCAGGGCAGTAAGCTTTGGCGTCCTATGTTCTACTTAGGATTTATATTAGATAGACGTAGAATAATAAACCAAACCAAACCAAACCACCTCAAACCTCACCTTCTACACCTCGATTCAAACAATTATCCAGAGATCTAAACATACAAGCAATTCGAAAAATTAAATACGAACGAATTAAAATTAAAATAAATATTAAGATTTATGGGCTCCATGAATCTGGCAAAAACCAAACGCACATTACCGCGCAACTAGGCATTTCTCGGGGTCAAGCTGGCTATTCTCTGCCCCGCGGAGCTTTCTCCCCCAAAAAGAGAAATGAACGATCTCAAGGCTGAAAGCAGATGATGTTGATCAGATTATATCTTATGTTGAGTCTTCACCTGGAAACCGCTGCAAAACATTTCTGGAGCTCGCCTTTGGCCCCTTTAGACATCTTGGTGTTAGCGAGCAGGTAATACAAATATAACTTAAAAAAAAAGGATATCAGCGACATGAAGCTCGTCTAAAGCCTCCAGTATCTCAGAAAACTATGAAGACACGCAGAGAATGGGCCGAAGCTCTTCTCAATTGGACAAATGAAGACTGGACGTCAGTTTTATGGACAGACGAAACTTGGGTAGAGGACGGAAGACATTCTAGAGAATGGGTGACAAGAAGTGTTCGTACATTCCTCAATAAGAAGATGGTAATCTGATGCTCTAACATTATGAGCTAGACTTCCCAAGAATATAACGCTGATTGTGTTGGAGAAAAATCGAAGAATAGGGTCGGATAGATGTTCTGGGGTTGCTTTACAGGACCAGAAAAAGGCCCTTGTTTGTTTTGGGAGAAGGAATGGGGTTCCATTAACTCCCAAAAATATTGCGAGAAGATAGTTCCTTTTATCGATGGCATGGTCTCGATGAAACCCTGGGTTTCCGTAATGTAGGATAATGCTCCTGCCCATACAGCAGCAAGTACAATGGAAGATGTGAGCCAGAGGCTCATTCAAACGATCTTCTGGCCGGCCAACTCGCCTGATCTAAGCCTGATTGAAGCTATTTTGAATAGGATGAAGGATTACATCCAGCGTCATCATCTGAATATTGTAGCGGAAAGCAGCTTACTCTAAATAGTCTTCGCAAGATTGTAAAGGAGGCATGGGATTCCGTGTCTCCCGAAGATCTTGTGAGACTCATTCAGAGTATACCAGCAAGATATCAGGCTGTGGTAGATACGGATGGGGGACCAACCAGATATTAAGGCCTGAAGATATTCCAGCCACATGTTCAGATCCAAGGTTAGGATAAGACTGTGGCTCTTTTTGTTATTCGAAAACCTTTGAAGTCTTGTAAATAAGTTACAAGGTCGAGTAGCAAAAGTGCACAAATTTTATGCAGCCGATCATTATACAAATTAAGTTTAGTACGAAGGAAAGATCCACTGCAAACTTTATTGTCCTCCAGCCGGCAAGGACGAATTCTTCACCTTCCAGTGGTGCCGGTGTAATCGCTCAGTATGCTCTGCATATCTGGGATAGCCAAGAAGAATCGCATCCGAATCGAAGTCGAAAGCAAATACATGCATATCTCCATTTGACGACTTCTCAACCATGCAGCACTCACCATTATCTTCTGAGTCCTCAACCCCGATCTAACCACATATCATCTCGCCTCGACGACCGACAAAGGCGTCATCCCAATTGCAAACAGGAGCTTGCCTCATTCATCACCGGCCATCACTCACTACAAATTTACGACGCTACGTATACCCGCAAGGAGGAAATTAAGTCATAATTTACAAAGTTGGGGTCTTAGTTTAAGGGGGACTGCTGCTCTAATGGGGTTATAAATCTTGAGGAAGGACAGGTAGCTGAGGGGTGGAGCGAGAGGGGAAAGAGGTCACTTAAGACCATGCTGGGACTGACATTTTCGAGGAGTTTTCAACCTTGGATCTTTTGTGGGCGACAAGACCGAGATTTCGGCTAATTAGCCAGGAGAGCTTCTTCTGTCGATGAGTCAACGGCACTCCCAAGCGCCCTGGACGGTACAAAAGAAGCTAGGCTAATCTACTATACAGCAATCACGCTCTGTCAAGACTTTTCAGATATTTCGGCACGACCTTCGAGAAGCAGTTGGAAGGAGGCTAGAAAGGCAGAGTGCGAATTTCCCGAGGTACCCGCAAGTCTGCAGCGCCCAGCTGGCCGGCCTCTTCGAACGCTTCGGAAGGGGCACTATGTCTTCGGATTTAGTCCTAATGTCGGTATTAGGAGAGCTCCGCACCCAGTGGTTTTTGCGATTTTTCGCGGCTGCCAAACACCCGCAAATGGCCATCGTTTCGTTGGCTGGAGAGGGGAGACAACGAAGGGCAAAGGGCTCCTCTAAGTGTATGATCGAATGAGGACTTGTGAAAGGTGGTGCAGTTCGAGGGGAGCTGTGTAGGGGGCACAGGAGGGGATATACTACTGGTATAGGTATCCTTGGCTTTTAGGCAGAGAGGACCTGCATGTCCTACATAGTCATAGACTCAGATAGGACAATAAAATGAAATTATTTAGTGTCCTCTAAAAAAAATTGCCATACAAATATCTTCACAAATGTGCACAAATACTGGTGCTAACCCTATTATGGAAGGTGACTACGCCTAAGGCGTCTTAAGTCACACGCTAAAACCCCTGTCAACTCCTCACTGCAAACTTGACACCGTGGCACTAAAGTACCCTCAGCCTGGTATAGGACGCCGGAGCTTACTATACTAGTTGCCTGAGGCGCCTATATTCCCAAAAATAAGAACTGAGGCCAATTCATCCAATCTACGTATCTGTAAGGGCGGAACCCAACACAAAACAACCTGGGGTGGTGTAGTAAATTAATTATACAGTGGTAAGATAGGTCTGCGCAGTGCCGTATCATGTATTTCTGTACTACATTTCATGAATTTGATAAGCGAGCTGGTTTGTCCGAAATCACATGATTATATTTTAGTAAACAGTGTTTTGCCCATTTTCTGGCCACCCATTTATTCCATATATTCCGCAGCTGTCCTGGGATGAAACTGGGTGAGTTAGGTAACCACAACATGCGTCCGAGTAATGATGTCTCAGAAGAATCAAGAAAATCAGCACAGCTTATTTCTGACCAATTGTCATGATCCAAAAGATAGTGTGGTTCAAGAATCGATGGGATGTTTTTTGGATAGTAAGTATCGATAAGAAAGCTGCAGTCATGTAATTTGACCTGTGTAGAGCCTTGAGTGTTAATTTTGGGGAAAAGTGGCCATAAACTTACATATTTTCCCATGTCTTCTAGATTCTGATCATTCATACCAGACGGCACTAACCAAGTGCCGCTCCGCCAGCCACCAGTTGCATGCATCTTTGGAAATTCGCCAGGTAAGAGTCCATTAAACTCACTTTTAATGAATTTGGCGTTCATGTTGTTCGGGAGGTGGTAGGAGCTTGGAAAACGATACCAATCTTTGCCGAAACATATTGTATCGCCGTATGCGCCCACAACAGATAGTGAGTTGTAAATATTGAGAGGCGCAGAATAGGCTGTGTAGATACCATAGATTCGCATTAAACCGATATTAACAGATCCGATGAGTAAAATCACGACAAACGCAAGTTTGATTCGACCAAATAGCTTCTGTGTATATTTTTGCGGGTTGTAGCTTCCCAAAATAGATAGAACTGTATGAACTGATACGGCTGCGTTGATAGATAGACACGGGTAAGCTGGGTACATGAAACGTTCTTCTTTGTGTCCCTGTAACGAGAATATGACTAGCCACATGTAAAACGGGGTCATAAAGAGGAAACTCTGCATGCTACTTGCATTCAATCTTTCTTTCCGGATCCATAACTGCTGAATGAGAGACAAAGGGATTGAAATCAAGGCAAGTATAAACCAAATGTTGAAATTGAGAAGTAGATTTCGTATGTAGAAATGCCATGGTTCAACACCGTAAATTTCGGGACCGCGTCCTGGCCCACCGAAAATATTATAGACGACTATGTTTAGTGGGACAATCACAAAATGTTTATAGAGTAGCGAGGATACAAAAATTTCGGCAAGCTAATTACCTGTTAGTGTAATATTACGAGGTGGGTATGAATTTACCAAAACAATAATTGATATTGAAACTTCTTGTAAAAGATTCCGAATTGTACCTGAAATATCAATTTTTTGCGAAGTCAGTATAATGACAATATCCCGTGCTATCAACGGTACGCAAAGTGCCATAGAAAATGGCCAGCCAAGCACACTCCCAATAGAAAACCATATTATACCACAGAATAATTTTTTATCTGTCCTCCTATTCATGAAAGAAGCCAATCCGAACATGTTCATATACATCGCAAAGCTGGAGGGTAGAAAGGATGCCGATGAATGATACATCCCAGGGCTAGATATCATGGAAATCATGTAAAAAAATCCTATTCGAGAATTTAGATGTTTGGTGATTGACTGGTGTAGTTTGGTCTGGCTAAGTGTGCATATTACTGCCAAAGTACAACGAATAAAATAAAACTCAGTAACCTTTAGGCATTAATGGCTGGCTCTATCATAGTCTGATGACCTACCTTTGAAGACCCTGGAAGCAAACTCGCAACGTTACCTATCATGGCATGGGCGAGAACATAAAGCCAGCTTCGAATAGCATAAGTAGGTGAGTACTCCCACGTTTGTAGTCCATATCCATGGCTTAGATAATGCGTAGGCTCCCAATAGTTAAAGACTTCATCACAGTCTTGAATCGGCGCGAAAAGTGCCGCGAGGACGTTTGCTATCAAAAAGTAGTAAAACGCTCGCATGAAGCATGAATGAGATCAAATGTGTAATGGGGGCATAAACCGAAGTTACTAAGCTTAAATTTAAGTAATCTTGAGATGTTCGGGTCAGCCTTTCTATTCCCACGAACTTTTTGATGACCACATTGCAGGTTGACACATTTCCATCACAGGCTAAGGCTTCTTATCTTATCCGACGACGCGGCCGCACGCCAGAAAAATTCGGGATCCAACGTTCAAATTAGTTACTACACAGGTCCAACAATGGCCCATCGGACATGCAACACTCACTAATACTCTATGGCAACGATCATGAATGACAATATTTGTTGTGGAGAAATTCCTGAGAGCTCCACCCAGCTATCTACTAAAGATCAATTAATCCACGAAGTTCCTTTGTGTCAAACCGATAAGGCTACTCAAAACGAGGCTGCTGCTCACGAAGATGGTGTATCTACAAGTAAGAAAGATGAAATTAATCGTCAGCCTCTTACTCATGCTTTAGAAGTGCTTCTTGGTGGGCTTGGGATACCATCTCTTGTGCCGGAAGAGGCTGAGAATAGTCCTATGGAGGCAGTAGTTCACGGAAACAATCCATCTACCAACATTAAAGAATTTAACCAGACTAACCCTGAAAAGAATGCACAAAATATGGCATCGGCTGTGTCTGAAACAATCTCGGTATGCCAGGAAAATACCTCTACTGGTATAATTGAGATTCTTCCTGCGAACAATACGTTAAAGCCTAGAGTCCAGCTGAATTTCACGGAATCTATAGACAGCGCACCTTCAACGGGTAACGAGACCCAAAATTCTACTGCACTGCCTGTCTCCGAGGAATCCATAGAGAAACCAAATATACCTGGTCTTTTCCTTTGTGGCAGCAATTTTGCAAGTGGTAAAGCACCTTGTCAAGAAAATTTGCTTTCTGAGGCTTGTGTTAAAGATAACATATCCAATCCACCGAAATTAGATGACTTTCTGGCATTAAGCTTGCCAAATCCCCATTTCATCGAAACTTCCGTCAGGCCTGCTTCGTCTGAAGAGCAGATACAAGAGCAGCATCCAGAATATGAGGCTGACTCCTCTCCAATTGTATCCTCTTCAGAGGACTCATCCAGCGAAAGTGATTCATCAGAAGAGAGCGAAGACGAAGCTGATTCTTACAAACTACTTAGTCCCGAAGAACAAGCCAGAATACTCATGGCTGGAGATGGAGGCTCAGATGATGAAGGCGGCGATAAATCTAAATCATCAGGAGGTCAACTGAGAACAAAGAATGAAATTCCAGAAGTAGTAATACCAAGGCCAGACGTTGTCATTACTCAGGATATGCCAATCATTGAACTAGGTGTCGTAGAGCAAATAATTGATAATGTTCTACTTATTAAGGCAAACACTTCTGGGGAATACAGGGTGCTCGAAAGCGGGTCCATCTTGTGCTTACTTGACCGAAGAGTTTTTGGTGTAGTAGCTGAAACTATAGGAAGAGTGGAACAACCATTTTATTCGGTATTATTTACGAACTCCGTGGAAATACTTGCCCTAGGCATATCAATGGGGATTAAAGTCTTTTATTCCGAAAGGCACTCGACATATGTATTCACGAAGAGTTTAAAGGTTTTTAAAGGATCAGATGCGTCAAATATGAACGATGAAGAAGTTGGAGAAGACGAGGTAGAGTTTTCTGATGATGAAATGGAGGCAGAACACAAAAGGAGAGTCAAACAAAAGAGAATGGGAAAAAGAGAAGGAAAATTCCAAACCAAAGCTGGACCCAATTGTAATCCTCATTCTCTACAGCAAATGAGTTCTGTAAGCGAAAAAAATTCTGTTCAAAGTATTAGCTATGACGAAGATGAACCATACAAACCTCTGACACGTCCGATTGGATATGCAGAGCATGTGAGCCAAAATGAGGCTCCTTTAGATAATGCTTACACTGGAGATAATGAAAGACAATACTCAAAGGGACAGCCCAAAAGTCGAAGTAGAGGTGAGCGACGCAAGGCGAGGGGCGATAACGGACGTACTCGTGGCGACCGGAATTCTCGTACCTCAAAAGCTCCTTTACCCACAAAGGAACCATATCAACAAAGTTACGGACAAACTCCAGCTCCAAGGCCTCAGACATCATCTCTACCCCATTCGCATGATGATAATATTGTTATGCAAAATATTACGCCACAATATCCCTTCTATCCTCTTCCCCAAAGTACATCGAGCTCAGTACAACCTCAGGAAAACTTGAGTCACCAGATTGCCTCGCAACCCCATATGCAGCCCCATTTACAATCTCATCCACAAGCTCACATGCAGCCTCATCTACAACCTCATTTACAACTATGGTCTCAAATATTTTCTCAACAAGGGTCACAGCAACCCCCACAAAATACGAATCAGAATTGGACCAATCTTATACAGTCTTTGCCTACCGGTGGGTATATTAATCCCGCTTTTTTTAACACACAAAATGGGCTATCTCAGCCTTGGAAACCACCAAATCACCAAAATCCATCAAATAGTCAAGGTAACTAGCAGTAAGGAATCCGTGAATAAAACACATGATATTAATAGTTCACTACACTTACACACTTCACTGCCAGAATTTTGAACTGAACTCACTGGGGTCAAAGGACATGGTGTTGAAGGGAATGGATATAATTATACATTAAAAACTTTTATATTTAGAATATCGTATTTTTCATCTCACAATAAGTATCAAAATGTTTGAATTAATTTATAGATTTTTGAATTTGAACTTGATTTCAATTAACCCGATCAGGCACCCTATGAGTCCTTACAGGTGACTATCTGCATTATTTACAAAGGAGGAAACCAATTTGGTGAAAACCCCCTGATCCTGTCTTTTTATGTTCCTATCAATTTATTTGGTTTACCTTCAGGAAGTGCAGTGTACACTGTTCAGCCCGTGTGGATTCCGTCCTCTCCCCTTCCAAATCTATTTACTTTATCCGAAATTGCTACCTCGACTTCTCCTGCAAGACGAAACTGTTTTATCCACCCTTTGTTTAGTATCCACTGTGTAATTCTGGCCATGTCTTCTGGGCTGTTCATCATTGCTTCAAATGACCTGTCTTAAGCTTGTCGGAGAAAGTCGCCTCTCCCATTTGCCCACTGCGGACACGCCAACACCATATGCTTGACGTTTTGCGACGGATATCCACATTGACAGCTTGGCTTTTCTACTCCGGGTACTTTTCTTCTGCTCAGGTAAGAATTGAGTCCGATATGCTCGCTCCTTAGCTGAATGGCGACACTGCTTTGGGCCCTGGTCAGGTTACGGTGGATTCTTAAGAGTGTATCTTTGAAGTTCATTTTGACGCTGCCTGTTTGTTTATCAGTAAATATATTTGCCGCTTTCCAATGTTCTGGATCGGCTGATGCTGGTCGGCCAGGGCGCTGTTTCCTGTTATGGCCTGTCCATAAACACTTCTACTCCTGAAAAGCCGCTATTTTTACAGCTTCTTTCTACCTCCCCTTGTCCTTTTCGCCTCGCAAATTCTTGACCATTTGGTGATATTTTTACTCCTCTTCAAGGCATGCGGAGTTAACCAGTTCCTTAATTTATGAGTAAAGTCCAATATGAATATTATGATTATATACTAGCTTATCCTGAGGGTCAAGCCCTAAACTTTAGTAGATATTTTGTGTAGATGAACTTTTTTCCGTTTAAGTATCGCAAAGCTAAGTTTAAATCTGAGCTCCTTAGTCCTTGAGCCCGTGATCCAGATAATCCACCATGACAGCAGGTTTCCATCAAACTTTCTTGTTTACCTAGGAGGAAACTTTGCGGTAAAAGCTCCCTTATCTGTCTAATCGGATTCTGCGCCACTTCGGTCTTACCTTTAGAAAGTGCACTCGCAATATTATTACTGGTGTAGATTTAGTCCTTGTCCTGTTTTACTATACACCCCTCTTCGCCTAATTAGCGTCTCGATTTCTCCAGCCATTCAAAACTGCTCTATCCATCTTTCCTTTCGAGTCCACTGTGAAGTTCTAGTCATCTCTTTGACGTTATCTACCATAGTTTCGAAGGATCGGATTGTCTATTTTCGTAGCAACTTGCCTCTTCCTTTGGCCTATTTTGGACAAGACATCACCATATGCTTTTTGTTTTGAGACGTATATCCATATTGGCATCGTCGTTTTCCTATTCTTGTTACATTTCTTCGATATAAGTAAGCATTGAGTCCAATATGCTCGCTTCTTACCATTGTAGAGTTGCCATCCATTTGGTGATTATTACTTATGCCAATTACTGATGATATGGGTTAATCATATTTCATGGTGTAAGTGCATATTATTCTAATATCAACTGTTTGTGTACTGCAGTCATTTTACTACCTTAGTTACAACACATTTTATTTCTCGATCTCCTCGTCGAGTTGTTGAATGAAGAACAGATTGGCTCGGTAGCAAGTGCATGTATATGTTTACTAGCGTGCTAGACAATTAGAACCCTCCACACTCCCATGAGAGCCAGGCTTGATCAAGTTAACTACCATTAAGTACAAATACCTCGTCTCACCTGAATAACTGGATTACCTCAAACTTCAACCATGTGTTGAAGATATCGAGTCTAAATATAGAGAGAACCCGATTTCGACGCTCAGCAGCGCAAATTTCTCCTCAGATCCGACCATCACGCACCCTTGACATCTTTCCATTGCTGTACTTTTCCCTTCCGATTGGTTTCAGTTTTACCTCATCGTAGCATCTCCTTACCTCCTCTGGGTAGTGATTTCTTAACTGGAGATAGCATCCAGTCACCCACCTAGGTCTCCTGCTAATTATTTTTTTATTACATTTTTGTCCCCTTCATTTTTGTGCCTATCTCATTATCCCAAAAGCTTTGGGAGCTATCCATCCATCTATCCTTGCCTGTCGCTGTTGTTCTCCAAGCTGTAGATGCCAAATAGTGGCCGGAGAGCCCCAGACTGAGGCACCTATGCCTCAGTTTTTATCGGATACTCTAATTGATGTGCCATTGAAATATCGTACAAATTTGTCGGTGCCCTTGGCCGAAGTATAGACGAAATATTAGGTCATTATTTTGAACATGCCTCCACAGCGCGCGGTAGTCGCAGAGAGATGGATACCTTCTTATATACTACACTTTGATTCTAACTTTTGGCTTTCGAAATGCTTCGGCAGGTGGTAGGTTGGAGTTGAAGATGATCATGAGATGAGTTAAGCTGGGAAAGATCGTCCAGGAAAATTCGAGGTGATATAGTATGTCGGTTGTTTAAATACTGACATGAGACAGGTTTGAGCCTGTCTGCGGTGTATATGATTGATTTCGGGAGGTTATGCCGTCGTTTTATCGCTACAGGTCGTAAAATTTTATCAAAAATTTGCGAACGCCATCCCTCCCGACTGTCGTCTCGACGGAAATACTCAAATTCACTCTTTTTCATGCCTGAAGCTTGAATCTAGGGAAAGCTTCATCCCGGGGTTCGTGGGGAACACCACGGACAGGTTTCCAGTCTCTATCTCCATCTTGAGCGGTCCATGTTACGATATTTCCACTTACTCGCACAGTCACGTCTTTGGAGAAGGCAAAAATAGTCTTGGAAAGGGCTGTAAAGAGGAGTAGTGTGGAGCCGCACGCAAATCGACTCTTGTAGGTGGATCAGGAAGCCGATCAGCTCATGCCGCTAAAGTCGCGCAACCAAATGTGTAGGTGGCTACGATGAGACGATAGAAAGGAATCACAAACTGATGGTCTCTTGAGCTCTAGACCAAGATGAGATATCAACTAGAGCCTGCACTTGCCCCGTGCTTGTGGCGGAGCAAGGGTATCGGGGCTTTTGTGTTACCAGCTACCCCATGACACACTGCCTTGAGGGCAGCTTCTATCACGGGAACCAGGATGGCGATGAATAAGTCGATCCATTAAACTTTATGTGGAGAAGAGGCTCTCAAGCTACCGCTGAAAGGCCCTCACATTAACTGATATACTTCGTGAATCTGCTGAACCTCGACTTTCCGCTAGGCTGAGTATCTGCTACAAAGACAATTACTAGCAGCAGTCACCCAACTATGATGTTGCCTCGATCTCCTAGCTAGCAGAGCCGATTGTTCCATCTCTGGGTCCCTCCCCATTCAGTCTTATCGTAAATATCCTTAAGACACTTTGGTTACCTCCTAGGCTCAAACAAACGGTTTGACCTTGACAGCCCAACTGAAGAAGCTACGTACTTTTAAGGCTATTCTATGTCGGAAATCCAGACTCATAATAATAGAACCCATTTGCTGTTGATTGTGTCCGACCTTCCCAGTAAGATCAAAATACCTTTTACATGTCTCAGCTACGCAAATAGGACCAAGTGATGCATTTAAAAGGTGGCTGTTTTGCTAGATATGATGTACAAGCGAGGCAAAGTTAAATTTGGCCCGAGGATGTGTAAATAAGCCCAATATTCTCATAACTGTAGTATATAATATGTAATATAAGTCTTCCATACTATCTCATTCTTTGTCCCTATAATATCGCACAGAGTACATTTTCAACTCACTGTCATAGATTTAAGGTTTGTTTATGCGTCTTGGCTCTGTTAAAAATAATCGCGAATAGTGGACCCGCAAATAAAAGGAAGTGGCGAGAATTAACATTCATATCTCCGCAATCCCTATTAGAAAGGAGAGATGGCTTTAGGATGTAAAGAAATATCTGTATCTAGCTATTAGTGCGGGGAAATGCGATGAAATAATTTTGCAGGTTATCCTCCACGAACACGAGGGGATTATTGTTCCAGATCCAAGCTCCACTTGAATCTAGCAAAGTATGATGAGTATTTACAAGATAAAGATGTAATACTTATACCCATTTTCTTCCTCAACTTTTATCTAGGCAAGAATCTAATCAAAGCTTCACCCTATCATTGATTAGGATCCGACATAATTTCTCTTCGATGATCAGGTTCTTTGATAAATCTATCTCTAACATGTACCTCGCCGCACCACTATACCCATGAAACGAGGAAGGCCTAGAAAATATACTTTAAGGCGCACGAATCTAGCCCGATGAGTCTATTGAAAGTCGGTGAACAATAGACAGAAGGACGATAATAGCAATGTAGAGGGAGTAGGTATGCACTAAAATAGTAGAATCTGCCATAGGATGGAGGTTATCTTGGCTCTGAGCCGGCGGGTAGGCGCCAAGGTAGCCATGAAGATTCTGCCGACGTTACTACGAGGTCAGCAACGGCCGGCACAGACATAGGCAACCCGGATTAGTCAATAAAGCGTCAATGGAGCCTTGGCCCCTGCTCTTCCGGTGTTGACGGCTTGAAAATAAACATTTCTGTCCATGTTAATGGCCAGCATTCTAGTATGTGGAGTAGTAGATTATGATTTAGCTGAGCTCTTCAGATGTCGGGTATCGACGGTTGCGAAAGGCAGTAAGGGTGACAGCTCCTCCTTTAATTTTGGGTCCGGTGGCCAAGTCAGTTCATATTAGGCTCCTGTTTGATCGTACAGGACTAGCTCCTTCCTTGAGACTAGTGAAGAGCACTTTGCTGTAGAGATAGTACAGTCATCTTTATCATTTGGGTGCTGAGTTGAGCTAAGATGGATATGTCACACATCCAACCATCCAAGCTAGCAATAAACCCTGTGTTGGAGAAACGCAAAGGTCGGAGAAAAAAGCTCTGAAACGGCAAGTGCTCATATCATGCAAGATAATTAGAGCGAGAATATGAAGCCTATCATGGGGATGGAAAGAGGCTGATTACTCCTGTCGCAGGTGTCGAGTGCTCTTCATCCTAGGTTTGCAAGTAAATTTTTTGACGGTAGATGTAGCCGAATTCCACGGCGTACATTGGCTGTAATCATCACGTTGTCCACGTTCTTGGCCATGCTGGATGAAAGGATAAGATCATGAAGGAGCGTCAATCTCTTCTCTCTAAGCCTGCTAACAATCTGGCAGGGCTGACTCCCACCTACCCCGCTATCCCTGATGTCATTAAGGCAACTTGGTTCAATGGTTGAGTAAGCATCAAAAGCTTTCAAGCTTTGTTGCCCACGAGGGTTCGAGTAGAGATGACACTGATAATAGCGATCAATGCACCTCTGTTTATGATGATGGTCCTTCGAGATGGACGAGAGAATCAGATAGATGGAAATTAAGAAGTTGAACCACTGCAATAGCGGCAAACGCTCTGTCGACATCAGAGATTAGCTTCATTAATCGTGGCCGCACAACGCCAGGCATGACTCGCTTGTTTCTCTTGCCTCAGGCATTAAATGCCCTAGACTCGGCCAACAATCGAGACGAATTATTCGGGGTCCGGGTGCTAGCGAGGCGATGCCTACCAGACGCAGTTCATAGATACGCCGCCTTTTCTTGGCTGATTTTGGTCCCAGAGAAGAGTGCCTGCTCAGGCCATACAATGGTGGTTTTGATGGGAATTTGTAATGAAACAGAATTGAGGCTCGCGCGAGAGAATTCAGGAGTATACCTTGCGGCTTGGCTGATGAAGATGCTCGGCAGATATGGGACCGAGGTCACGCCTCTCGAGAATACCTGGGCGAGACAAACAGGGGAAGGAAGACATTGATAGCGCACTCTCTCACGATGTTATCGTCACTATGCTGCGAACTTGTGTCTAGTACCAGGAGCTGTCAGGGCGAAAGTGTAAGAAGATAGCCTGAGGGTGTCGCTGGACGACCGCTGTCGCGATCGGCGCGAGAACTTCCGCCAAAGCTACAACGCGTCATTACGCGCTTCCTTAGTGGGACCGCAACGAGCAGGCGCGAACTCGGCTAGGGACTATTGTCTCCGTCAAATTTACATGCAGTTCCGAGCCCCGAAATCATGCCACTGCTCTGAGAGTCTTCTCTTCTTCTTGTGGCGTTGAGGAAACCTAGGCCTTGATAGTGCTACCCCTTGCACAGGAATAGAGCGTTGCACTGCCCCAATTCCAGGAAGTCGAAGTCAATTTCCGGTAAAGGACCAGACCGTTCCAGTATGACCATAAAAGCATTCGTAAGGACAAAATGCCGGTGCAGAGATTTCTGGCTCCTCATCATCGATAGGGGAGCAAGGGCCCGTCTCCTCTACGCTTGGCACACCAGAGAGAAGTTGTGCGACTACACCACCTTGTGAACGGAAGGGGCGGGAACAAGGAAAGCGCGCCAGTGTTACAAACGATCATGCTCGAAATTTGAATTCATCCTACCGCCAAATACACGCAAATTTGGAGGCATTCTAACATGTCTGACTGATTGCCGGACGCCGTCTCGGCACCGCCGTCGCGAAACGCGACTCTCTTCACACGCGTTATCTCGCGATCACTTGGGATAGCCGATGGCCATGCACCTCGACCCGTGCACGTGCCGGATATTTCACATGACATGCCGGCTAGACACAAAAATAGGGGCGTGAGTAAGCGCAATCTATATATACCGCAGCCGATAGAGGGAAGATGAAGTGGGGATGAATACAGGGGACCCTGAGCTGGTGCGGGAGAGTCGGGCTCATAACGGCGCTCGATGGGCGGGCTCACGACTATGGCATTCAGGCTCCAGTCCTGGGCTATTTTGGTCGCCGATGGCCCCGCCCATCGGAGTTTAATCGCTAATCTCCAGCGTCGGGGACCTCGGCTTCTGCCGTCTCGCACCTCCTTATAGCGGCGCTGCGCTCAATCGCGCAGCTCGATGCGCCTTCGCCTCTAATCATGAAGTCTCCCTTCCTCTACCGCCTCTCCACTATGCGCTCCGCCCTGTCAGTGGCCCAGCCCAGAGTGCGCTACCACAACTTTTCCTGCGCCTCCACGAGAGGCCAGTCCGACCGCAGTGCCCCCTGTTGCGATACGGCAGGCGCAGCTATCACCGTCCCGTCACCACCGCCGACACCGTTGCCGCCCCCATCCAAGGCGCGCGCCCATCTTCTATCGCGCGCATTTGCTGCCTACGGACAAAGCCAGCGCGAGAAGCCTTATCGCACCCAATTCATCAGCTCCTTGATTATTTTTTTCCTGGGCGATGTCTCGGCCCAGCTCATTGGCGCGGATGAATACGATCCACAGAGATCGCTGCGTGCACTGATCATCAGTGCCGGATGTTCCATTCCCACCTACAAGTGGTGAGAAGAAGACGTCCTCAAGAGGGAGTGCGAGCGTGGTATACTAACGACTCGGCGCCCAGGATCGTGCTTCTCGGAAATCATTTCAACTACTCCTCCAAAGCCCTCACCCTCGCCACCAAGATGCTCGTCAACCAAGCTCTCTTTACCCCCATCAACTGTCTCTGGTTCTTTGGTATGCACTCTCTGCTGGCCGGAAATGCCCTGGCCGAGGCCTGGGAACACATTCAACGCACCCTACCACCCTCGGTAATCAATAGCTGTAAGCTCTGGCCCGCCGTCGTCGCCATCAACTACACCTTTATTCGCCCCGAATTTCGCGGTATCTTCGTCGGGGTCATTTCCGTCACGTGGCAGACTTATCTCTCCTACGTCAATCGAAAATTCGAGTCAAAAGATACACCCGCCGTGACCGCCTGAGCGCCAACGCCTACCGAGTCACGGATAAGGCGCCATGAACCCGCGCCCAATGTTCTCGCCAACTCCACTCGATACCCACCGCTATGGATTGCACATACGGTAAGCCCGCCATCTTGGACAGCAGACTTAGGGGTAGAGGACTCTCCTTTGCCTAATCATCCCATTCATACGGCCAAACTCGGATACAAGGCCTATTTCCATCAAAGCGAGGAGTGTGGGAGCTTTTAGGACTTTCAATATCTCATATACCTATCACCACCTAATTTTTTCCCTACTCCTGTCGCGGGCTGGCCATATGGTGGGCAATGTTCCATTTACACCCTTGGTTGTATTTGATTGAGTTCATACTGGACTTTCTTCACACACTCATACTCCCACCTCATCTTGGCTTTCTCTGTACCGATACTGCCGCTGGTTGGGAAAAGGGGCATTGGCGAAACCGTAGATAGAATTCACATGTAAATACCAGCCCAAGTTGCCGATATCTCGCAGACTTAGAGCTCCAAATTCATTTGCTCACCCCGTATGTTATGTTGATAATTAATACGCTTATTCTCCCTAGTGACTACCATGAACCTACGCTTGCTCGACTTCTATCGACTAGACCGCTCGAGCTACTGGTCACGTGGAGACATGGTAACCGCCTGACCCAGCAATCTCAAATCTCCGGCCCGTTGATGCCATGTCCCATGGCTTGGTGTTGCTCGCATGTTTAGCTATCAAATTTGTATATAAAGAGAAAATTGCTCATATCTCTGTTGTCCTTCACTATTTCAAGGTACGAAAAGGGCTTGCGCACACTATAGCAGATTGTGTGAAACTACCAGAAGAGAATGTGTATGCCTGGGCGTGGGGTGAGGAGCCAATTCAAACGTTCTAACTAGTGATATCTATACTTTCCAGAATGTGAGACAGCTACATGACCGCTCGGCCAAGAGGCTAGATTACACTCACTACCCTCTCGTATGTCTCCACACATACAAGTGAAGTAGAGGTAGTCCTGATAGACGACCTTTTTGGGCTCAATCAACAGCTCCTGACAAATCTACTGTGACCACTACGAACACATTCTGTTTGGCCCCGACATCCTAGGTATTGCAAGACAATTCTGTGGCGAGGTCTGTAGCAGATCACTGAGAAGGTCCGCCACAAGTCTTCCGAGTCTCTCCCCAAGGCGCATGAAAGAATCCAGTCTCTACATAGTTGCATTACAGGTAGTATTGTGTGCAATATGAGAGATGGGTTGTTGATATAGGACAAATGGCATGACTGCTCAGTTGGGAGCACACTGCTTACGTGATCGGTCTACAAGCGAAATAGCTAGGGGATGAGAGACGAGCTTGCCCCAACTGTAACATATGAAGTTTACATGTACATGTCAATGAAGATATCTCTCCATAAACAATCTTAGCTGTTGCAGCGCAAGGGTACATACCCAAATCATATACCAACCATAATATCAGGAGGTCAGTTTGCAATAGTGATAAAGATTTTCTAAAAGCTTCATTCGAGCACAATTGTTCTGGTTTTGGGCAATGTGAAGCGGGTAACAGCGATCAGACTTATATCATAAGACGCTCTAGGGATATGGACAGATAGTGTAAGAAAAAATATATCCTTTTATACTTGGTACACCTATGGGATCATATACATGCCCGCCCAACCATTACGCTAGTGGTAAATACTGTGGTCTAGAGCTACACGCGATGCCCCAGCCTCGACAACTTCGGTCTCTCATATCATAACAAAATCGCCGCACGGGATCACTAGATACACATGCCCTTCGTTCCGAAACTATGCAGTGTATCATCATCAAGGTTGGAACAGGAGATAAGTCAAACCTTTGGGCATAATTCCCATCACTTTGCAGCGGGTAGCGGGTAGCGAGTTCGTGACGCTTTGGCAGTATACTTGTGTTAGCCTTCTCCAGGAATCTAGAGGGTAGTTTCCACAGACCACACCGAAGGAACTGTTAAATTTTCGGGCTCATCTATGAGTAGGCACATTGAAAAACTGACACGGTGACATTATCAAGTTGTTGTAATCCTAGTCTGCGCAAGGGAGCAGGGCCTTCACAGACAAGACTCAGTGATTATATTACATGACTCTATGTGTGCAAGCTCATATTAATGCATGACTCATATGTGAGTCGAGCTAATTATTAGGAGCTCAAGGATCAAATAATGTCGATACGCATTGCATGAGTTCATCAGACAATCAGTGGGTATGGCTGTAGAGCAAATCGGACATGAATATTATCAGGTCCATTTACCTCTTGTGTAGAACATGCGTTGATCTTCAGATAGTCCAAATACATTCGCTCACCACCAGAATATTTATTCCACATTCATCTTTATATGTACTATGCTACCACAATACTCATCCATCTAGGCTCGTAATTACAACTCGAGTCCAGTCACAGATGTCGTAACGAGGCTACACGAGTGGAAATCCCCCAAGTCTGCCGGTAGAAGATAGGTAATTAATTATTTTGCCAAAAAAGGAGTTGTTGTCAGGATTGCCTTCTGCATAATTAATAGATGTGGAGATAAATTCTAAATGGTATTCTATGATTCTGGTCTGGCCATCTCACGCGCATTGCAGGGTAGCAACCTTATCTCCGTCCTATTGTCTATATGCCATTCTGATAATTCTAGTGTCCATATTCTTTTGGCCTAGATAATAGTCAAGAATAGGCCCTGTTGGTATGACAAAGGTCACACACTAAAAGTCTGTTAGTTCACTTAAAGTTATGAGAATACTTGTGTAAGTATTTCGAACTATCGTTCAGAGGAAATGCGCATTCATTGTTCACTCATGTTCTTCTGAGTTGATGCTATAGAATTGCTCTCTAGCCTACCTTCGGATAATGCTTTATCCGAATGTAAGAATCCACACGTCACGAGAACGAGCCAATGCAATGCAACAACCACCGACTCCAAATAACTCCATCTAGATGAATCATTCCGACAGGCCCTCTAAAGAACTGCGCCTTCTAAGCCGGGTGAAATCTTGGGCCAACTGTTATTGGGTTTGTATTTGTTGTATTTCTTGAGTCTTAGACTATCTAGCCTATTTGGCTTCTCTCTGATCCCGGCCGCACCTTGAACAATGCTCCCATCCTCAACACTGACGAAAAGATGTCGAATTTATTGCCCATGATGAATTGCCATTCGGCTCAGTATTTACGCCTTTTTGGAACAATGCGGTATACGCGCGTAAACAAAAGGCGATGAAATATATTCACCATGTGACGGAAACCGAGTTGGTGATGAATAAATCGATTTAATAAACTGTATGAGGAGAAAAGCTAACTCTAGCTACTACTAACAGGTATTTATAAGAGTTTATCCTCCTCGTGAATCTACAGACTAGTGACTTGCCCTTATGCACAATACTTCTTACCCAGCCACGTATGTCTAGGTGTCACTAAGTTGTAATGACGCTTCAGCCTCCTGAGTAGTAGTGCCGTTTCGTTCAGCTTCATCTCCACCCCCATACAGCCTCATCGTAAGGATTCTTAGTATCGGGCTTAGGTATCCACCTAAGCTCAAACAACGGTCAAACCGTAACACACCAAAACGATTCAATGACATTCACATATAATCCGTTCTATCTATCTATTCTAATCCTCTTGGTGTCATGTGAGGACGCCTAGAGAATATCACGTAAGTTGCACCACTGTTACAATCGGTTAATACATATTCCACTTGTTATTAGATTGCAAATAGCTACTGTTCCAACACGCGTGGAATTTGGCCACCCTTCGCACGGAACCGTCTATTCAAAAAAATTAAAATTGTAGCAATGGAAACTATGTACGCCGGAAAAAGTCTCATAAAACCTGCAGTCCAGCTAGGCGAGGCCTGGACACCGGGACCACATGAGGTGCGCATATGCATCTATATCTCCCTTCTTTCTAACATTTGGGGCCACCTTGATCCAATCTACCATCTCAGTATCGGATGGATTCTCCTCCATGATCAAGAGAAGTTGATGGACGATGAGTAGAGCTTCGACTCTACCATCTGATCTGATTGTGATTAGCTTCATGATGATGGTGTTAGAGATTTGTGCTTAGAGATAAAGGCAATAAAGATCGCAAAAGTGATTTGGAATCCTCATCGAAGTGAGGACGTTGTTACTCAATCTTGGCTCTGCAGACTTTACAGTGAGATACGGAGGCTCGTGGGAGATTCCACTCCCGGGTGTTGAACTTTCGTCTCCTTCTGGGCCAGATATTTCCTATGAGAGAGGAGTTTGTTTATGTGCCTCTTTTGTGCCGGCAAGTATGGTAGACCTTTTTGACATAATTCTAGGTTACGAGTAGATAGAAACATACCAGAAATAGTGGTTGATAAATTTTATATGAAACATGGTAAGCTGTTGGGGTCTATATGGAGACGAGAGTAGACTGCGGTAGATTTGAGATGAGAATGTTTAAATGATGCTGTCTAATTGTAGAGATATTGCTCCGCTATGCAAATATCTTCACTGATCTTTATCTCACCTGATTACCCCCATTATCCTCTGACTCCGACTCTGACTCCTTGAATTAGCTATGTCTCTCATCAATTGTTATGGTGGACGTCTGAGTAGACTAGCGCCGTCTACGAAGGGCAGTCGAAGAGAGGTAGGAATGGAATTAAGAATGGAGGAAAGACGATGAAGAGGCGAGAGGAACAAGTATACAAGTAACAAAATAAGTTTTCCAACTCTAGAATATAGCCATTATGATACGAATTGCGAATCTGAGAAACGAGTGCAACGCGTACCCAGATTCTTAAGTACCCGGATGGTCATCAAACTTCCTCGAACCCTAACCGGTGATGGTATCGTGTTCAGCGATCATCACATCAAGCCTAAGCGAGCTGGCTGAGCCTTAACATCAATCGTGTATCAATACGGCCTAGATGTACACTGATGACAAAACACCCAGGTTACATAGTGCATCCTGTCGGGGGCTCCTTAACTCAGCTGTATCACCCGTTAACTATGTT